GAACATCACACACCGGGGCCTGTCATGGCGGGGACTGGGGAAGGGATAGCATTAAGAGAAATAACTAATGTAAATAACGAGTTGATGGGTGTGGCAAACCAACATGGCACATGTATACCTATGTATCAAACATGCACGTTGTGCACATGTACCCCAGAACTTAAAGTATAATAATAAAAAGTAAACATACATGGTCAATAGATATGGGATGAGGATTATAAAATAGAAACACTGAAGGGACCATGCAATGCATAGGACATGTTGGCAAAAGCTCCCTCTTAGCAATGGGAAGGTGGACAGAGGGGGAATTTCAGGTGCCAAATTTAAACTGGAGAAAGACAGAACATCTAGAAAGTATAAGAGGACATGGAATGTAGTGTAGAGCTGTGTGCGTGACCAAGTCCAAGGAGTGTTTCTGTCCCTTAGCAATGAACAGACAGGAGCAGTCTGAATCACTTAGCAAGAACCTAAGATACCATCATAATCACTTACCGAGATGTAAGACTATTTTAGAACAAAGTCAAGAAAAAAGTATTCTCTAATAGGTGGAACTAGGAATGATCTCTAATAAGTAACTCTATGGTCAAAGCCAAGGGCTACAGAGACTGACCCCCTACCAGTCTTTTTCAGGAAATGGGGTGGAGCAACCCCCAACCCTCCCTTCTCTGGATACTGGAGGCCTTCCATTAAAATATACCTGGCCTGCTTCTTTCCTAGAAAGGCTGCCTAATTCACTTATTGTTACATTCCTGTGCAAAGTTGCACAGAGATGGGCCTATTCCCTGGTGCTTCATCATAAAAAAATTGCTCACTGAAATAATCACCACATGGTTGGTTGGTGCATGGGAAAACTGTCTGCATTAATTAGTTGGCCTGAGCATCCCAGGACCCCCAGATACAGGAACTAAGTCTACCTGTCCAGTGACATTTATCATCCAATTTCCCAGGGAAATCACATCCAAGAGGATTCAAATAGCTTTCCAAAAGCACTGGGCTATTTCTTGCCCATGTTCTATTTCTCATTTTTGAAATAATGAGTAAAGCAGAAATCAGCAGAATGACTACATGAGGTAATTGAGATTTTAAATGGTTCTGGCTGAGGAGAACTGATCTGCCAGTGTTGATTTCAGGTTCTGACAGAAGGGTGAAGTGATCCCACCTACCCTTCCCCACCGCTCAAATACAATGAAAACAATGGAAGCAAAAACTGTAGGTCAGGAGTTCTTAACCTGGGGCCCATGGACAGAATTCTGTGACTCCATAAACTTGGATGGGAAAATGTTTCTATCTTTATCTTTACTAACTCCCACTGAAATTTAGCATTTCCTTTAAGCATGAACATGGGTGACAAACCATGTTAGTAGACATCAGTTCCTATAACTTTGTCAACAAGAGAAATCAAATGTGTTCTCATCACATTTCAGTTGCTACGGATCTTATGCTTATTACTACTTCACAATTATGGTATCTGACTCACCACTTGATCCAGCTATATAACAAAGCAGCACAAATATTCTATCGTAAGTTTTTGGAAATTATAACTTGTTTCTTGGAATCCTATTTTATGTATTTAAAATGTTTCTGAGAAGGGGTTCACAGGTTTCACCAGGCAGCTGCTGAAGGAGTCCAAGGTACAAAAACAGTTAAGCACCTCTGATGGAAGCATCCACGCTAGAAATTAAGAAGGCTGGAACCCAGATTCATAGGACCCTCAGGCACATTTCAAACTTGGACTGCCAGCCTGCCTAGTGTTATTAACATCTCATTCACAAAGCTGTTTTAAGACAGAGCAGGATAATGTAAATGAAAGTGGTTTATTAGCCAAAAGAAAAGCAATGTTAAAGATTTAGTACAAAGACACTCGGCAAGATGGTAATTAAAGGAGATAGAGTACTTCTTCAAGGTCACATAACAGCTCTTATCTAGGAACTAGGTATTTAATAATGCAGCCCAACTGGCCTCTGGAAGAGCACCACTCAAATTGCTGCTCCAGGGTCGGACGCAGTGGCTCACGCCTGTAATTCCAGCACTTTGGGAGGCTGAGGTAGGCAGATCACTTGAGGCCAGGAGTCGGAGACCAGCCTGGCCAACATAGTGAAACCCCGTCTCTACTAAAAATATAAAACTTAGTCAGGTGTGGTAGCACACGCCTGTGGTCCCAGCTACTCGGGAGGCTGAGGCACGAGAATTTGCTTGAACCCTAGCGGAGGTTGCAGTGAGCCGAGATCGCGCCACTGCACTCCAGCCTGGGTGACAGAGTGAAATTCGGTCTCAAAAAAACGCTGCTCCAAGATGTGGTAAGGAGTTTGTGCCACAGGGAAAAATCAGCACACTGCTTCTTTCAATGAGTCTTGCTGTGAAAAACAGGTCAGCTGAAGTGCAGTGCTTAGAAAACAAAGAGCTGGTTGACAAACCACACTTTTGACTGGTCCTGCTCTAGAGTCTTGAACATAGGCCAATGATATGTAACACAAAACCCACACCCCCACAATTCCCCACCCTATTCCAGAAGTCATGGGACCAGAATGAAACTGATGAATCTACTGAGACAGATGGTAGAAATGCAAAGTCTTGCGTCAGCAATAGTTAATGCAAGCAAGGAAGTGACTATGCAGACTGTACAGGAAGTACTAGCACATTTTTATTTCGACATCAGCGCTGCTCCAGCCCATTAAAAACACTGTCAACCCAGCCTTCCTCTAGCCCCACTGGATCATCATGAGTCAAGTCTCTAAAATATTCAATCAATCACACTTCTAAGAGAAAGCAGCATTTCATTTTTAAAATAAATTACTGACATCTGCTGATGTGTTGAATGGAATTTTAAACAGTCATATTTGTCTTGTCTCTAATTAAAAAGCAGCTATAGGATACTACAGTACATTCTAGTTTAAGTTATAAAGGAGACTGTAATACTATATAACACCACAGCCATTAAAGTGAAACAACAATGCTAGATCTTAAAACATTTCTTTAAAAGTCAGCAAAAGCAGAGGGGATTTTCAGTTATCAAAGTTCAGTTTGCATGCTTTTGTTTCAAAACAGTAACAAAGATGTTCAAAACATCCATCATCCTTTCTCCAATACAAAGAAGTGAGTTGGGTCAAAATTCACTATTGTCACCCAAAATGAAAAGAGAGATTTCCATGCCTTTCTTTCCCATTCCACATCCCTTATTCTCTCCTGAATGTATCTCCCATGGCATGGCACAACCTGATCCACTTCATTTCCACCTCTCAGGTCTTTGCAGGACTTGTGTCAACAGAGTTTATCAGTGGATCTGCTGCCCCAGCCTCAAGCTAGTCTTCAAGTACAAAGCCATGACCAGTTATTAAAAACACGATATCCAGACAGCGGTACATATACCTGGTTTCTTTTATAAAGTAGAAAAAATCCAATTCTATTGACCCCAAACAGTGTTCTACAGTAATAGTACCATCATTTTATATCTTACACAGTACAGAGAGCTTTGCAAAGCACTATAGTAGAGTTGGAGGGAATGGGAAAAATGTCTACTAATGCTATTTTTAACCTATGTGCACAAGAAAAATTTAAGTTAAGTCTATCATTACACCATGACTAACTCCTTTCTTCTTCGTCTTCTTCCATGCCAATCTAATACAAAGAAAAAGTAGGCGGCCAGGCATGGTGGTTCACATCTGTAATTCTAGCACTTTGGGAGTCCGACACAGGTGGATCGCCTGAGGTCAGGAGTTCAAGACCAGCTTGGCCAATACGGCAAAACCCCGTCTCTACTAAAAAATACAAAAATTAGCCAGGTATGGTGGCGGGCGCCTGTAATCCCAGCTACCCGGGAGCCTGAGGCAGGAGAATCGCTTGAACCTGGGAGGCAGAGGTTGCAGTGAACAGAGATTGTGCCACTATGCTCCAGCTTGGGCAACAGAGCAAGACTCTGCTAAAAAAAAAAAAAAAAAGAAAAGAAAAGAAAAAAAGAAAAAGAAAGAAGGGAAAAGCAGACATTCATTCAAGAAAAAAAAAGTGTGGTTGCTCACGCCTGTATTCCCAGCATTTTGGGAGGCCAAGGTCAGATACCAGGCGTTCAAGACCAGCCTGGCCAACATGGTGAAACCCCATCTCTACTAAAAATACAAAAATTAGCCAGGTGTGATAGTATGTGCCTGTAATCCCAGCTACTTGGGAGGCTGCAGCAGGAGAATCGTTTGAACCTGGGAGGTGGATGTTGTAGTGAGCCGTGATCACACCACTGCACTCTAGCCTGCGTGACAGACCAAGACTCTGAAAAAAAAAAATTTTTTTTTTTTTTTACATACATACTATTGATTCCTACACCTTGGGAAGAAGAATGTTCTTTGTTGACACCAATTCTATCTCAAAATGGACACTGAATATTTCATTTGTAATCCTTTGCTTATTGCAAATTCACCATAAATGACTCATTCCATTGATACAGTATAAACCTTTTATAAAAACAACAGAATAACCCACTGACATCTAACAATCCAAGTCAGTGTAAAGCTCACTTTTGATGTGGATCGTTACCCACAAACGCAATCAAGCTGTTAGCTACCTGCACTTCTTTAGGAGTTTTTAAGTTGCTCATATTGCCGCAGGCCTCTCCACAAATTCTGTCATACATCAGTGCAGCCAAGAATCTGCTCACCAAGTTTCCTAGCGGCTACCCAAAATGACTTTTATTTCCACATCTAATACACTGGTAAGAGTAGGAACAGAAATAAGCTTTTGACTTTCAACTTTACAGTCAGACAAAATCTCTTGCTAGCCTCAGGTCAATGGTATAATGAAGGACTGGTGAATGTAATAGGTTGTGTATCATTTAGCACGGTGGCGAATGAAGTCATTACTACTGTTCAAAAAAGGCCCCAAGGCCATCCTATTATAAAGAGATAAATGACATGGAGTGATAGAACCAGAAACAGACCAGGAGATACCGCTGATCTATGAGATCACAAGTTAGAAAGAAGGGACTGGGCTGAAATAAATCGACAGAACACGTGAAATGTCTCTTTTGTAATTTTAATTGAAGCAATCCTATTTATTTTTTTAACTCTCTCTTATAAGCACCAAATTTTAATATCTAAGTCAATTTTTGGGGAAAGAAACATCATCAAGATCATCCCTCCAGCAAAACAACGATGTTTACTCCTCCAAATATCCAAATTGAAGATCTACGAAAACAAAAACAAAAACAAAAACAAAAGCCCACAGAGAAATAAAAAGGAACAAAAATCACATTCTAATGGCGGGGGGAGGGGAGGTCAGTGCATTTAGCAGTCTTCGCTGTGCTGTCTAACCATCCTTCAGCTGACTTTCAAAAAAAAATAACACCCTAAGCTCATCAAAATATACATTTGCCATTTGCTTGTTTAAATTAAAAATAATTATTAAAAAAAGGAAAACTTTAAGGAATTCACAATCAATTGCCTGACTCATTTCGATGTCATGTACAGCATATGGAGGTCAGGAAGGCCATTCGCAGCACATGTGATTAGGGGCTATTGATCTTCAAGGTTTAGCTTTCTTCCAAACAGTGTAAAATACCCACCTGGTCAGGGAGTCAAGGAATAAAAGCAGGTAATTCAAGGAAGAAAAGGCATCACTTGTAATTCGTTTGCTGGCCTACAGATTGAAAGACGGATGAAAAGCTTCATGGCTTAGAGCACTGTGGGAATGAGAATGAAGGCCTTTGAATAAGGCCACTCTGCAGCCTGGGGACATCCCCACCACCTGGGATGTCTGAAGGAGGTACTGAGTGGACAACAGAAGGCTAAAGGAACACAAATATTCTCTCAGGTAACACTACCGATCCAAAGTCTCACAAGTTTTAGGGAATTAGTATGAGAAGGAAAGGCAGGAAGAAGGAAAGGAAGGAAGGAGGAAAGGAGGGAGGGAGGGAGGGAAAACTGGGGTAGCAGGAAATGCAAGGAAGGGAGAGAAGGGGGAGGGAAGAGAGGGAAGAAGAAGGAGAGGAAAAAAGGTCAGAGGAGTAAAGGAGAGGGAAGGAAGGAGGGAGAGAGAAGAACTAGCAGGTGGAAGCCTTTGCCTCAAATGTTATCAACTCATTTCTCAAATCTCCAAACATGCAAACACAGGCCTGACAAACATGCTGAGGGGAACCATAAACGAAGGTGGACAGTTGGGAGGAGATGCTGAAGCTCTGTACAGGCTGTGGAGGGACACGGCCACCCAGCAGGCGGAGTGCCCCCTCCTCACGTGGAGGATCTAGAGGGTTCTCATTGCCTCTTGCTGGCTATCTGGTCTCAGCAGGCAGTCTGCGCTGCCGGGCTCTGCCCCAGCCTGATGGGACCAGGCCTCACTGGAGGTCAGCAGCAGTCGCAGAGCAACCTTGACAGCAAAAAAAAAACAAAACAAACAAACAAACAAAAAAAAACCTGCCGTCACAGGAACCTGGACTTGGCAACAGCAGATAAGGAAGCTGTTGTCTGCAGACTATGTTGTGGCACAAATTTCCAATGATAATGCTCTCATTTCCTTTTTTTCTCCATGTTTTATTTCTCTAGACTAACTTTACTAAGTGGAACAGAGAACACCAACGTTAACTGTGCAGTCCCCAACATCATTCTAGTTCTCGATTTCTACTGCAAATTAGCATCAAGTGTAGAAACTAGGATTAACATCAGGTAATTTTAATGTAAGAGCAGAATGAGTGTCTTTAGACATTTTACCTGCCACAGGTAGGGTGGTTATTTTAGACTAGGGCTTCTCAAACTTTTTAGGTGCACATAAATCCCTGGGAAGGCTGGTAGAACAGGTCACTGGGCCCCCACCTCCAGAATTCCTCTGACTGGAGAGCAGGTTGGGGTGGGACTTGAGAATGTCCATGTCTAACTAGTTCTTGAGCGATGCTGCAGGTCTGGCAACACCTTTGAGAACCGATGCTTTAGACCAGTAGTGCTTGATCATTAAAAGCACCTGGAAAGCTGTGGCAAGCCCCCGCCAAAACTTTTGAGAATGGGAGTCTAGAATGTTAGATTTTATTTAAAGCTTCTCGGGGGATTCCAATGTGCACCGAAGCTTGAGAACCAGGGCTTTATATACTCTACGGCTAAGCTAATTGTTTATTATTGGGATTTAAATTTTTTAATTGGCATAGGATTTACTTGGGTGCTTTGATCTGGCAAAAGAATGTCATGGTCAAAGGATACAATTCCAAATATGAAGGGACACAGACGATCTCCTTTGAAAATTCCACAGGACAATACAGGTGCCCCAGCTGTTCTTCATAGAGCGACAGCGCTTCTGTCAGATTGACACAGTTCCCCTAAATCAAAGAGAGATAAGCAAATGGGATTCTTGAGTCCTTCCAAGGGCCCCACTCATCTGAAGGTCGTTAATAAAGAAGAACACTTCTAGCTTTAGATAAAAGTTCATCTTTAAAAACAAGATAAGGCTTCTGTATTTTCACAAATCACACTGCATTCTATTTATAGACCCATTAGAGCTCCATTATCCTTCTACCTCATTGACCAAGCCATTTCAAATTATTAGAATATGAAATGATAGAAAGCAGTGAAACCGATTTCTTACTAGTGACACAGTCACTGAATTAAAACCATGCAATTTGCAAAGATTCATACAAATAACATATTCAAAGGAAATTTTCTCAATAAGGGTCACCATTATGTTATAAACGAAGTATCAAAAAGATAGTGTTCTTGATTTCCACCATGGTTTAAACTACAATTCTCCTAAGAGTCTAAAATGTTGACACAGAACTATATTCACCCCTATTTTTTTTCCTAGAATCTGTGTATAAGAGAACAAAAGTCTACTCGGGACATATATGCTAGGGATATCCCCCAGTTGCACACCTTATCAAAAACTTTCTCTCAACTTCATTATTCTAGCATTTCTCCCTTTCCAGTCACCCCATTTTCAGCATCTCCAGCAGCTAGGGGTAGTCAATGACATATACTGCAAGTTTGCTGGTAGCTGCTGGAAAAGCTTTTGATTCAGAACAAAGAGAGAGCCACCCGCCTCTTCAACTTTCTTCCAAGCTATAACCTAGATGTGATATTTGGAGCTGCAGCAGCCATCTTGTGACCATAAGGAAAAAAAGGTGAAGAGAATTCAAGAGATGCCAGCCAAGGTATAGCAGAGTTGCTGAATGGATACAGTATTTGCCCAACTCTAGAGCAATGCTTCTAACTCCTTAATGTACATGTGATAGCATAGGGGATCTTGTTAAAATGTAGATTTGGATTAAGTCTGGGGAAGCCTTTATCATCCTTTTAGCACAATTTTCCCCAAATGATTTTCATTATGAATTTAGAAAACAAAACTGGTATTTATATACAGAGATTAAAAGGAAATACCAACTATTTCCTTTTAATCTCTGAAGTTGGTATTCACAAGACAGTAATACTGAACCCAGGTGGCTGATTCCATTTCTTAAGAAAGTTACTCTTCACTGGAAGTGCTGGCTCAGGCCTGTAATCCCAGCACTTTGGGAGGCTGAGGCAGGTGGATCACTTGAGGTCAGGAGTTTGAGGCCAGCCTGGTCAACATGGTGAAACCCTATCTCTACTAAAAATACAAAAACTAGCCAGGCGTAGTGGCATGCACCTGTATTCCCAGCTACTCAGGAGGCTAAGACAGAAGAACCACTTGAACCCAGGAGGTGGAGGTTGCAATGAGCTGAGATTGCGCCATTGCACTCCAGCCCGGGCAACAAGAGCGAAACTCCAATTCAAAAAAAAAGTTACTCTTAATTTGCCTCAAAATAGCTAAGTATAATGCAAGATGAAAATTATTTACAAATAAAGGCAGCCTGTGATGTAAGAACTCCTGAGAATGGCTTTCAAAACCAACCAGCCAGCTAGTCACGGGCAAGAGGTTAGAATTATTCTGAGAGCTGGCCTTGGTGGTTTTAACTTAGCACATTCACTCAACATGACGTCATCCTTCAGTGCCAGACTGTTTAGTAACCCATCATCTAGGGTCCCGCAGTGGGATATGGTCATGGTCAAAGTGCCCTTTGCCAGCATGTAATTTGGTTTCAACATCAAGTTCACCATGAGAGCATATAAACACCACACGTGTAATTTAAGATTCACAAATAGAAAACTGCCCAGTTGTTTTTAGAACCCATCGCCACTGGGGAAGCTATAGAATGAAAATGCCACCAAGGTGCACAGTAAATGGCTTTGCCATGTTAAAATTGACACCACACTCTCTCTTTATAGAGGTTATATGGGAAGACTTCCTTACATAGACTGTGGTAAGAATATAGGAAAGTTTCAATTTGTTCTTTCCGAACATTGTCAAGAAGTTTCAAAAAAAGAAGAAAACACACACCACAAATAGAGACCTACCCAAAAAAGTAACATGATACATTTCACTTTCCTGTCTATTTAAATGGAATGACATTTTTTCTTTTTAAGAGAAACAAATGGGAGATGAATAAAAATCTAATAGCAAAGAATTAAGCACCCATTAAGGATAAGAAAAAGGGATGGAACAAGGGGTGGGGCCACACCTGGCATTATCGAAGAAAAAGGGGCTCACTGCCCAATGTTCTAGAAGTCAGTATTAGGACACTGGGGTTTTAAGAAAAGCAAAGCTTATTTTAATTTCTTTTCAGAGACAGGGTCTTGCTGTGTTGCTCAGGCTGAAGTACAGTGCTGTGATCACAGCTCAGTGCAGCCTCAAACTCCTGGCCTCAAGCAATCCTCCTGCCTTAGCCTCCCCAAATGCTGGGATTACAGGCATGAGCCACCGAGCCTGGCCTAAGAAAAGCTTTTTATTGTAAGTCAACTAACAAGGAGACAGGAGTCCAGCTTAAATATGTCTCCCTGTGCTGGACTTAAAGGCAGTCCTTTTATTAGAAAAGGTTTAAGGGGCTGGCTGCAGTGGCTCACACCTGTAATCCTAACACTTTGGAGGCTGAAGCAGGCAGATCACTTCAGGTCAGGAGTTCGAGAGCAGTCTGGCCAACATGGTGAAATCCCATCTCTTCTAAAAATACAAAAATTAGCCAGGTGTGGTGGCACACACCTGCAATCCCAGCTACTTGGGAGGCTGAGGCAGGAGAGGTGCTTGAACCCGGGAGGCAAAGGTTGCAGTGAGCAGGGATCGAGCCACTGTACTCCAGCCCGGGCCACAGAGTGAGACTCCATCTCCATCTCCATCTCCAAAAAAAAAAAAAAAATTTAAGGGGTAGGTTCTGAGATTTGCAGGTGATTGATTTGTGGATGGAAAGGGTAGATCTGGAAAATCTTCAGGCACGTATGGTTATCTCTTTCTGCCCACTAATGGGTCTTGTGTGCAATCTTGAGGGCGGGGAAGTGGTTAGTATGAAGCAAGTGGTGAAAACTTAGGCTGTGACATCAGCAAGCTTGTTCTGTGCAAATTCTAATGGGGCATATTGGTTTTAACAGATTTTAGCCAGTGATTTTCTTTCTTAAGTGGGGGGAGTTTCAGTGTTTCAGCAAGTTGTTTCTTTTTTTACCTGCAATCCTGCAAACTCAGATTTTATTAGTCATTGGTTTATTTAACCCTTTGAGGCTTCACTAGGGGATTAAATCCAAATTCTATAGCTTCAGTTCTAGAAAGTTCTTTTCCCCATGTTAGGTGTGGACAGGTGACATTTGCTTTTGTTTATTTTAGAGGTGGGGTCTTCACTATGTTGCCCAGGCTGTCCTCGAACTCCTGGGCTCAAGCGATCCTCCTGAGTAGTTAGGATTACAGGCACATGACACCTCAGTAACAGGTATAGAAGAATACATCCTTAGCAACTTTTATCAAGTTCAAAAGCAAATAAAATTACATAGTATAATGATTTAGGAAATCATACATGTAAGAACCATCTAGAAGATACAGAAACGGAAAAAAGTGAGACCAAGGATGGGTTGCTTCTAGAAGGCAAGCAGGAACGAGAGAGAAATATAACTTACAGGTTTTTTTTTAAATGGGGCTGGAGGGAGAGAAGAGAGGAAGGTCAAGTCCCAGGATCTGCCTCCTAGGTTCCATGAAAACACTTCCTCCCCAATTCAAATTCTATTGGCCCACCTTGATTCCCACGCCTCTCCACGATGCATTCCCCAGCTTCCTGGGATGCTGACAAGGCTGCATTCAGGCAGCCACAGTAACACCAATGACATCACAAACTCACCACTGTGATGCTAGCAGTTTTAGGTGGGAACATTTAGCTTCTGTAAAACAACACATTTTCATCCCACCCTTAACCTGACTCCAGTTCTAAGCTGCACACTTGGGCAAAGTGGGTGGGCATGCCAGGAATCTGGGTTACCTCCTAAGTATGTCACCTGGCAGTTAAAAAAAAAACAAAACTGCCCTGTGGCAACTACATCAATACATCCTGAGTCAAATCACTTGCTTTTTGACTTAATTACTACTTCTTAAAAGGGCTATACATGCCTGTCCACATAAATCTTACCATGTGACACTGTCAACCACCAAATGTACTGAATGAACCCCAGGTGTTATATAATGAGATTGTTTTGTGGTTCTAACTGTAATGAACATGGGGACAGAAAACACGTCGTATGTCTTTCGGACAATTCTTAGAAACCAAGACAGCCCTGGGCATACAATCCTTTTGATTTTGGTAAAAAGTCTATTGGCAAAGGCAAGATATCAAAGCCTGGGTCATTAATATTTACAAATGGGTTGTGGTAGTACACTAAGCAAGCATTCTATTAGCCTTTCATACTAAGATAACGGCTCTCCATAGGAGGCGGCCTGCCATGCCAATATTCAGAACAAAAGAACAACAGTCACACGGTTGTAGTAGACAACAGGTGGAGTTAGTGTGGCTGTCTCTTTTGTCCTGTCTTTTGTACTACAGACTGGCTAGTTTGTAGTGGATCCAAATTTTTTTCAGCCTCTTTTTGTTCAAGATCCCAGAGCCTCACATTTTTCCTTGATTTAAGCTGCTTGAGATTTTCTTCTATGTGTTTGCAGAAACCTAAAAGAAAAAATTCTGGCTGGGCACGGTCACTAATGGCTGTAATCTCAACAATTCAGGAGGCTGACGTAGGAGGATTACTCGAATCTAGGAGTTTAAGGCCAACCTGGGCAACATAGTGAGACCTCATCTCTACAAAAATTAGCCAGGCATGGCAATGGATGCCTGTAATCCCAGCACTTTGGGAGGGGCAAAGCAAGACGATCACTTCAGCCTGGGAGGTTGAGGCTGCAATGAGCGCCACTGTGCCACTGCACTCCGGCCTAGGCTACAGACCAAGAACCTAGCTCAAAAAAATGAAAAGAAAAAAATTCCATATGCTCTGCTTAAAAAATGCCCATCATGGCTGGGCGCAGTGGCTCACGCCTGTAATCCCAGCACTTTGGGAGGCCAAGGGGGACGGATCACCTGAGGTTGGGAGTTTGAGACCAGCCTGGCCAACATGGAGAAACCCCATCTCTACTAAAAATACAAAAAAATCAGCTGGGCATGGTGGCACATGCCTATAATCCCAGCTACTCAGGAGGCTGAGGCAGGAGAATCGCTTGAACCCAGGAGATGGAGGTTGCAGTGAGCTGAGATCGCGCCACTGCACTCCAGCCTAGGCAACAGAACAAGACTCCGTCTCAAAAAAAAAAAAACAAACAAAAAAAACCATCATAAGAAAGTCCAACTTGCTTCTTTACAATAAGAAAGCTTCATTTGAGCAGGTTTCACTGCAGGTTTCCTATAAGACAGGGGTCAGCAAACTTCCTCTGTAAAGGGTCGGACAGAAACTATTTTAGGCTCTGCAGATCACACAGTATCTACCACAACTACTCAGTTCAAAAGCAGCCACAGACACTATGTAATAAATGGGCGTGTCTGTGTGCCAAGAAAACTTTACAAACAAGCAAGCAGGAGGCCAGATTTGGCCCAATGTTTGCAGACTCCTGGCTTTAAATAGTTATATCCATCTACAACATGTTTGTAAAAATCGTTTCTAAACCTTGGGGTGGTGGGGGAGAGACACTCCATTAACAGATAGGGCTTTGCTCTCCTCAAAGTTTCCCAACATTTTCACCAAGCGCAAAGTCTACGATTAAGCACAATGTGCCTGCAGGTCTTGCACGCAGAGGGAAGAGCGGAACAACAGGATAGGCTGGAGCCTGAATCAAGATGTCTCTTAGAATTGCTAAGTTGTTTTCAGCATTATTAATCTCAGATTCCATAAAATGTCCAGGATAGGGTCTGCTTGCAAACATCTCCCCAGGAGGATAAAGTTAAAACCTCTACCTGTTCCTGACTTTTTTTTTTTGGAGACGGAGTCTTGCTCTGTGGCCCAGGCTGGAGCCCAGTGGTGCAATCTCGGCTCAATGCAACCTCCGCCTCCCAGGTTCAAGCAATGTCCTGCCTCAGGCTCCTGAGTAGCTGGGATTACAGGCTCCTGCTACCATGCCTGGCTCATTTTTGTATTTTTAGTAGAGACGGGGTTTCACCGTGTTGGCCAGACTGGTCTCGAACTCCTTGACCTCAGGTAATCTAACTGCCTTGACCTCCCAAAATGCTGGGATTACAGGCGTAAGCCACCACACCTGGCCTGTTCCTGACATTTAAATACAGTAAACTAATACTGTGTTTATTTTTGAGTCAAGGTCTCACTCTGTCACCCAGGCTGGAGGGCAGTGGCACGATCATAGCTCACTATAGCTTCAACCTCCCAGGCTCAAACAATCCTCCCACCTCGGCCTCCAGAGTTAGGACTACAGGCATGCACCACCATGCCCAGCTAATCTTTTAAATGTTTTGTAGAGATGGAGTCTTACTATGTTGCCCAGGCTGGCAGTACCTTTTTTAAAAAATGGAGGAGAGGATTTTTCTGTGAACTCAGAATAATTCAGAGATCCAGAGTACGATGCTACGTAAGTGTTTATCTTATGTTTATGAATCAAGGAATTTTGTACCAAGAGACTAGATTATCAATTAGCTGTCTTTGCTGTCATTTTCAAAATTTTGTTAAGGATTTCAATAGAAGATATATATGTATATTTTTAACGCCAAGAAATGAAATCTTTAAAGTTTTAGAATCCCCTAGAGAATGAGAAAAGCACCACAATCTGCTTCCATCTGGTGGCAGGAGTTCACAGTACAGCCAGAGCTACTTCATCAAGTGTATGTTGATGAGAGGAGGGGAAAAAAAGAAAATCAGTCTGTGTCTCCATCAGGTGGCAGCAGCTCATACTACAGCGAAAGACCAGGGCTGATAACTCATTAATTCCCAGCAGAGGACAGGTCCACTTAGAAGCTTACTGTTTGAAACAACATAAACCAATGATGCTGCTCTATCCTTAATAAATTTCAAAAATGTGCATTCAGATTTCAAAATATAAAAATCTTAAGAGTGTTTTGAGGAAAAAAACTGTTAAGTAGCCTACCTGTGTAAAATATTTCCCATCCTGTTTCAACACTTTCATTGAGAGGTCAAGAATCAGTCTGAGAAACTCCCATGTGGAATCTGAAGGTTTAAAAGAACAAGTTTCACAAATATGGGTTTGTACGTATCCACAACATCTGAAGTAAAATATTCAAATACTCAATACCAAAAGGGGAAGAAGAAAAAGAGCCACAAGTGTGAGACCCACTCACCATTCAAAGAGCTTGTTCATGAACGATAATGAAATTGATTTTGGATGCCAAAATCACATCTACCTAGCACTGCTCTCAAAATACCAATAGATTCAACACAAAGGCAGTGGCCGAAACGTGAAAGAAAACTGCTTTAAATAAGGGGGCAAGCAGCAAAATCCTGAGAGAAATTCAGAGTCTGCAAACTCAGCAGGAACTTGAGTTTATAGAAAAAACATGAACTAGCTGTGATTTTGAACAAACATATGGTTTGAGAAAGGGAATTATCTGTTGTTAGATAAGTGACCAATTTGTACCAATACAGGTTGAAAATCACATAAATTAAATACATTATCAAATGATTTACCGTCTCAATAATGTAATGAGTCATTTTATTTCATTTTTGTTTCAAATGACTGAATGAGTTCACTCATTTAGTGGCAGAACAGGAATTGAAGCCAAATCCAGTCATCTTTCCACCATGGACCTCAATTTAACTCCCTAAAAATGTGAGAGAACTAGACAATCTCTAAGATCCTTTCACCCTCACATGGTGCCCAGAGAAACATTTCCATCATAAGTATCCTGGTTAAAAAAAAAATCTACCTTCTTCTGGAGACGTGGAGATTGGAACAGCAGTCAAATCATTAATCACATAATCAAATTCTCTCCCTTCTTTGGCGTACCTCTTCAGTACCGGAATACAGTCTTCTATTAGAACCTTCCAGAAAGAACAGGAATAGATTAGTAAGCCAACATGTGGATGTAGTTAAACAAAAAACAATAGTAAAGGAAGGAGGAAAAAAATACCAAGTGGGGGCTTATATCCACAGCTATCCACAGCATCTGCTACAGGAACCAAAAAACTTTCATCTATGTCTATTAATAGCAAAAATTAAGTGCTTACCATATATGCTTTATATGCCTTCTCATTTCAATAAAGCAACAATACTAGAGGCACTATTATCCACTTTACCAATGTAGAAACAAACTTGAGGTGTTATCCAGCTTGCGCACAGATCCACGAAGTATACCTATTACTATCTGAAAGCCAACTACATACTTTCATCTCTAATCTATACTGCCTCTCCTACCACTATTTGTATCATCTTCTTTTGATTTTTCTTATTTTTTAAAATTAATAAACTATTTTTAAAAAGTTTTTCTAGAGACAGGGTCTCACTATGTTGCCCAGGTTGGTCTTGAACTCCTGGGCTCAAGCAATCTGCCCACCTTAGACTCTCATAGTGCTGGGATTAGAGACATGAGCCACCGTACCCAGCCTAATTTTTCTTTTATACTAAGCACTGAATGACTTCATTGTTTATGGATTTTTGCATGTTACTCAAACTATAAACATGTTGTTCCTCAATTTTCTCTAATGCTTGGCTACTGCTAATAAAGCTATATATAACAGCTCCCACCATCAGAGTCAATCAAGAGTCCAGCTGGAATTCCCATACAGATCATACATAGTTAATACAGGAAAGAAGTTTGAGGTCAGCTGTATATTTGAAGTACTGAGGATATTTGAATGCTGAGGACACATCTGGATCTAAGCAACATCCTAAACTAAACGGGAGTTACGGTCATCTTTTAGTTTTCTAATTCAAAAAAAAAATACATTAAGTAAAAGAAAAATTACATATAATAGTCAGAAATCAAGAGTTTAAGAGTTTGCCAGGCCAGGAGCAGTGGCCCAACACCTGTAATCCCAGTACTTTGGGAAGTTGAGGTGGGCGGAACACTGGAGACCAGGAGTTCTAGAGCAGCCTGGGCGACATGGTAAAAGCCTGTCTCTAGAAAAAATAGAAAAACCAGCTGGGCCTAGTGGTATGTGCCTGTAGTCCCGACTACTCAGGAAGCTGAGGTGGGAGGATCGCTTGAGCCTGGGAGTTCGAGGGTGTAGTGAGCCATGATCAAGACACCAGTGCGCTCCAGCGCTGCAGCCTGAGTGACAGAGCGAGACCTTGTCTCAAAAAAAAAAAAAAAAAAAAACCAAAAACAGTTCACCACAACTCCCTAAAATAACCTAGCCCATGTTGTTTCTCATCATTCTTCGTATAGCCTCACAGTTGTAAGAAACTGGGACTTCTCTGTCCTATTGTTTTATAACTTGTCTCACTTAATGCATCATACCTGTGGAGGTACTAACACCACAGTTGCCTTCAATTCACTATGAATCCTGTTTGATATGCTCATAATTTTTCCATACGTTCACAGAGATTCTTACAAATACTTGCACACAAATACAAATATATCTGCTCTTTTGTAAAATTTGGATCACGCACATCATTCGGAACTTGAACATTTTCACCGAACATCTCTCCAGGTAATAACACACATTTTTAAAAATACGCCATTCCACTAAAAACGTTCTTTCTGTTGTCATCGTCAAGCCTTGGCCACTACTAGCACATCTATAATAAAACCTTGTAGTGACACCTTTTTAACTGTGGGCTGGGTGCTCAAACACAGGGTAGAAGCCATGTGTTTCGGTTTTGATAGCATTTCACATGTCAAACAGCAATGCATATGAGCACCTGTCTCCTCCTCGCATCCTCCTCAGCGTGGAATATTGCTCCTCTACTAAATTTTGTGAAGTCTGTTGCTAATGTTTTCACAAGAACTTCCTGGGCCACCAACAGGGGAGACCGTCTTGTGGTACTTTTTTTTTTTTTTTTTTTTGAGATGGAGTCTTGCTTTGTCGCCCAGGCTGGAGTGCAGTGGCGCAATCTTGGCTCACTGCAAGCTCCACCTCCCAGTTCACGCCTTTCTCCTGCCTCAGCCTCCTGAGTAACTGAGACTACAGGTGCCTACCACCACGCCCGGCTAATTTTTTCTATTTTTTCGTATAGCCGGGGTTTCACTGTGTTAGCCAGGATGGTCTCGATCTCCTGACCTTGTGATCTGCCCACCTCAGCCTCCCAAAGTGCTGGGATTACAGGCATGAGCCAATGCGCCCGGCCTGTCTTGTGGTACTTTTTACAGGTTATTTGACTTATTCTGAGAAGTACCAGTAAATATACCCTTTATACTTTTTTAAAGTTAGTTAACTTCATTTCGAAGCTGTAGGGACTCTGCATTATTCAAGGGATCAACTCCCTGTCACGCTTGTTACCAGTCTTTCTTCTAGTCTGAACTTTTGGCTTGGTAAGGACAACATAATACCATTAACAGTTTGAGTGTCCTATCTTTAAGAGATTTCCCAACTCCAAGGTTAAGTGCTCTAAATTGTCTTAAATGTATTAGTTTTTACATTTAGAGTCTAAGTCACCAAAATTCCTATTTCTATGGTTGGCTAACTTGGTTCTCATGCAGATGGTTAACTCATTATACCCGCATCGCACATTAACTCAACCAAACCTTTTCCCAAGTCGACTGAAATGCATCTTAGACCATATTAGCAGTGTGTAGGAATACATACTCAGACCTGTTCAAGTTCCTTTGACATTCCTAGGTATTGTGTATTCCTTTCATACTTCCTATTTGATTACTGTGCCTTGTAGTACATTAACAACGAATAGGACATATTTCGCTTCACACTGTGATTCTTTTTTCGAGTTTTCTTGGGTATTCTTAGATATTTGTTTTTACAAATAAACTTTAAAATCAGTTGGTCTACTTTTAAACCCCTCCCCTCTCCTTGGGATTACACATAATAAATTGGGAAGAAATAGACATTGTTCTGTGTTGCTGTTTTTTTTTTTTTCTTTTTGACAGAGTCTTGCTCTGTCACCCAGGCTGGAGTGCAGTGGTGCGATCTCGGCTCACTGCAACCTCCACCTCCCGAGTTCAAGCCACTCTCCTGCCTCAGCCTCCAGAGTAGCTGGATTACAAGCACCCACCACCACGTCTGGCTAATTTTTGTATTTTTAGTAGAGATGGGATTTCACCATGTTGACCAGGCTGTTCTCCAACTCCTGACTTCAAGTGATCTGCCCACCTCAGCCTCCCAAAGTGCTGGGATTACAGATGAGCCACCAAGCCCAGCCTGTTCTGTTATTTCAATACAAGAAATACAGCATGCCTCTCCACATATTCAGACTTTGATGTCTTTCAATAAGATCTTAATATAATTCATACCAGTCTCACAATACCATTCTTGTTAAATATATATTCCTAGGAATTTAACACTTGATTACTTTGAAAGGAAATGGATGGGAAGGAAATCCTATTTAAATGATTTAGCATTTAGTATAGAGAAAAAAATCTAGGCTGGCTTTATCCAATCACTTTACCAAATTCTCATGAATTCAAATAATTTTCTATGTAAGTTTCCTGGCTTTTCTAGTATTCATATCATCTGCAAATAATTAGATTTATACTGTTTTCATCTTTCTACTTTACTATCTCAGCTGCCTCAAAAAACAATGTGAAAAAGATAATTGGCATCCTCATCTTCTTCCTATTTTCAGTGGAAATGGCTTCTGCTATCTATTATATTTATTATATTTTCTATTTTTCTATTTACTATAACCTAATTTCTACTAATGTTTAGGTAGTTTCATCTCTATTGCAATTTTATTTTATTCAAGTAATTTATACTTTAACTTTTACTTTAGATTCAGGGAGTACATGTACAGATTTGTGTTTTATATATATATATTTTTTTTTTTTAGAGACAGAGTCTCCCTCTGTTGCCCAGGCTGGAGTGCAGTGGTGCAATCTCGGCTCACTGCAACCTCCACCTTCCGGGTTCAAGCAATTCTCCTGCCTCAGCCTCCCATGTAGCTGGAATTACAGGCACACGTCACCACACCTGGCTAATTTTACATAAGTATACTGCATTAGCTTTTATTAAAAATGACTGCTAAATATTCTCAAATTCTTTGTCATCTGTTATTTTCCTCCTTTACTTACATAATGAATTAAGTTGACAGATTTCTTAAAATTCAAATCTTTACACTTCTAACTAAATCCTACTTGAGCATAATATAGACTTCTTTAAGATGACAGATTTAGCTTATTATTTTACTTGGAAATTTTGCACATATGTAAAAGCAATCTTTAGTTTTGTGTACTACTTGATTTTACTATTAAGGTTTTCTTTTTTTATTATTATTATTAAGGTTTTTTTAATTAAAATTTTCTTTTCTTTTCGAGACATTCTCGCTCTGCGGCCCAGGCTGGAGTTACAATGGCGATCATTAAAAAGTCAGGAAACAACGGATGCTGGAGAGGATGTGGAGAAATAGGAATGCTTTTACACTGTTGGTGGGAGTGTAAATTAGTTCAACCATTGTGGAAGACAGTGTGGCAATTCCTCAAGGATCTAGAACCAGAAATACCATTTGACCTAGCAATCTCATTACTGGGTATATATCCAAAGGATTATAAATCATTCTACTATAAAGACACATGCACACGTAGGTTTACTGCGGCACCATTCATAAAAGCAAAGACTTGGAACCAACTCAAATGCCCATCAAGGATAGGCTAGATAAAGAAAATGTGGCACATATACACCATGGAATACTATGCCATAAAAAAGGATGAGTTCATGTCCTTTGCAGGGACATGGATGAAGCTGGAAACCATAATTCTCGGCAAACTAACACAAGAACAGAAAACCAAACACCGCATGTTCTCACTTGTAAGTGTGAGATGAACAATGAGAACACATGGACACAGTGAGGGGAACATCACACATTGGGGCCGGTCGGGGGATAGGGGCTTAGGGGAGGGATATCATTAGGAGAAATGCCTAATGCTTGCAGGGCTTAAAACCTAGATGATGAGTTGACAGGCACAGCGAACCACCATGCCACGTGTATACCTATGTAACAAACCTGCATGTTCTGCACAGGTACCCTAGAAGTATTAAAAAAACAAACAAACAAAAAAAAACCCCACAAAAAACAGAATTCATTTTATTCCATTCAGAGAATCTGGAGTTGGTGCATTCCCATCATTGGTACATGTGTACCCTAAATACAAATATACATATAACTCACATGAAGAGACAGATGACGTATTTATCTTCTCAACCAATTATACTAAAAGCTGTTTTAATAAGGCACGATTCTGATCAATAACTTAAATCAATTATATTATCAGTTGACTTAAAACTATATTATCCAGAAAACATAATTACCTGATAGCAGTCTCCTTTAAGATTGTCTAAGACATCGCCACACGTTTTTCGCATGTATTTCTTACACCCATCGATCACCATTTGGTCAATGTCCGAAACAGGTTAAGGAGAATTTGGGTATATCAAAGAATTCTTAAATAGTAATACTTTAAAGAAAGGGTTAAGACAAAGATTTTATAATGCTAACTTGGGTATCACAAATTTGACAAAATGATGAATGAGGCAGTGAGTGACTTTATTTTCACACCAAGGACATGCAAAAGGAACTGAATCTTCTTTTCTCCTCATGAGATAGCTTTTAGGGAAGTCATTTTGGAAACTGCCGGGCAGCAGACACAGTATCAAAGTCATTTGCTCTTTAATCCTCAACTAGGTAGATTATTTGTTTGTTTTTGAAACGGAGTCTCACTCTGTCGCCCAGGCTAGAGTGAAGTGGCGTGATCTTGGCTTACTGCAACCTCTGCCACCTCAGGTTCAAGCAATTCTCCTGTCTCAGCCTCCCAAGTAGCTGGGATTACAGGTGCCCGCTACCATGCCTGGCTAATTTTTGTATTTTTAGTAGAGACGGGGTTTCGCCATGTTGATTAGGCTGGTCTTGAACTCCTGACCTCAGGTGATGCACCTGCCACGGCCTCCCAGAAGTGCTTGGATTACAGGCATGAGCCACTGTGCCCAGCCGATTATTTCTTTGTTGATGGCCACGTAAAAGGGTACTGTTACTAACTTGTCTGTTCAAAGCAGTCTGGGTATGAGTAACACATTTGCCTCTAGTCTGTGGTAACATTAATTTGAGTTGTGAGACACCAAAGGAAGGAAGGAAACAAAAGAAGCCCACTGAACTTGTTCTCTCATACAACAAAGGATATCTCTACCATAGTGACCATCTTTGGTTTTAGTTTGACTATTTCATACAATATGCCTCCATCTCCACCTCCCAGAATGAGTACATCTTTGCCAGTGTAATCTTCTTTGCCACTGCCCATGATGGCCCGTGTATACGCCAAATCACTCTCTGCCAAATCTAGGGAGGAGAAACAAATCCAAATGGTGAGTCTACCTTCACACACAAACCACCTGGCTCCGCCACACTGAAGTTCTGGGATCTAGCCCAAAATGTAAATTTTTCATTTTCAATTTTTTAAAACTGTGAACAATATATGCAAGCTTTTTTTTCCATTGAGGACTTTTTCATCAACCCTGATCATCTGACACCTTATACAAATGGACATTAGTCAGTGGAAAGAAAATCCAGCCTTAAAGATGTGTCAATATACCAAATAATTAAAAGCAGTTACATCTTAACAAATGAAATAATATGATGTCTGTGAGCTGCTTCAAAATAATATGAGAGGGACAAAGTAGACTGGGGTTTAGGCAAAATAAGACTGGCTAGGAGTTGATAATTGTTCACACTCAACGGTGAGTACATGCGGGTTCATCACACTAATTTGTCTACTTAGGTTTCAACTGTTCTGTAACAAAAAGGTTTTGTTTTTTTAATAATACGCAAATGCATTTTCTTTTGAAACACAATCCAAATACTCATCACTAAGGAGGCAATGTCAAGACGAAGTTTATGTGAAAGCCCAGACAATCCACAGGTTAATATGACATAAATGTGCATCTCAAACACCAGCAGTGTCAGAAACAAACTCAAACAAATCCACAACAGCAATAACTGTCAGGAAAACACCATCATCTAACATATCACCACTTTGTTATGTGATCGGGGCAGGGATGGAATACTTACTAACATCCCCACTAAGGATGAGAATATTTCCAAACTGCTTCGAGTGTAGAATTTTTATATTTTGATAAGGTGAATCTTCGTCATATACCACTTCATCTATGTCATATTCAACCAGGCGCCCATCAGCAGTTGGCCAGTATCTGTCGATGGCTCCTCCTCGCACTATGGGTGGTAATCTGGAAAAAGAGAAAAACAGCAATGTACCTTACTAGAACACTGCCTTACAAGTGGACCTGGGATGAAGAGTATGCAAAAGAAAGCCACATGACTGCCGACTTCTGACAAGCACAAAACAAATCCAAAGCTTGGGCTTTTAGTTGTATATAATCACGGCCACCACCAAATGTTGACCACTATTGTACACAGTTCACTTTTTAAAAAATCCTGTCATGCTGTAGATTTTCTCTAACAAAAAGCTGAAGAAGATGGCCACTGCACACTTCATACTTCAAATGCTCCAGCAGTATCCGTCTCTTAAGACTATCTACATAACTACATTGACATTACCACATTCACACCAGTTCACATGGGTATCATATGGTTATCTAGTACAGAGTCTATCTTCAAGTGTCCCCAATTATGCCAGTTATGTCCTTTATAGATGTTCTGCTCTTGAATAAAGGTTCATACACTGCATGTCCCTATTATTTTTTTCTTTTTTATACTCATGTAACATAGAATTTTTTTTTTTTTTTACTGGTATGTTTCATGACATTGAGATCTCAAGGTACAGACCAGCTATTCTGCCGAAAAATGACTCATATGGGTTTACCTGATAATCTCTCACTCTTCATGGTTAGAATCAGGTTGACATATATTAATTACACAGGCATCACATCGGGAACACAAGATGTGTATTTGTCCTATTATTGGTGATGCTAAGTCTGTGATCACTTGGTTAAAGTGGTATTCATGAGATCTCTCCATCTGCAAAGGTACCTTTTCACCCTTTGAAATTACTAAGCAGGCTGTGGGGTGGTCCTCTGAAACTAGGTGAAAGTCCTCACCCCCAACAAACCTTTACCAGTGGTTTTAGCATGTAGAAGATTCTGGCCTGAACCAGTTACTACTAGAGAGGCTGCAACATGACTTTTTCATTCATTCTTTTGTAAATACCCGGTATTTTTCACAGGATGAATGTACTAGAAAGTACCAGCAGAGGACACTAAATGACAGGAAAAAACAGACCTGGAAAAGGGGCTTGGCAAGTCAAACACAAAGAAAAGGAGAGCTCACTGCATACATAACACAACCGCGTGAGTCATGTGTTCTCAAACACAGTAGTGTTCAATATTAAAACGCCATGATGCACAGTTGTAGATATCTAAAATGCTGGGATATGCGGCCTGACTTACTCCTATGAGTCTCTTTCCCTTCACTGCTCACCAGATTCCAAGAGTACAGTCTAAACCTGTTACAAGTTAACGAGGCTTTCTATGAGGGAATACTAACATCTATAAAGAACACTGAGATTGAAAAGGCAAACTCCCATAAATTCATGTAATCCTGACAACTCTTGATTTAACCACTTCTTTACCAAACTCCATGTGAACAAATTCAGCTTTGAGAATGTGAGGCATTCTAGAGGGTTTTTCCTGTAAATTGGAAAATGTGAAGCACCAATCAGGACAACCGCTAGAGAGCAGGCAAACAGGACTTGGAGGAAGCCTCTTCTACCCCTGGCTGATGGTGGGGAGTGAGATGAGAGTGAGCCACCCATGGCACTGGAAGAAGGACAAAGTCACTCACTCACTTCCAGGGGAGGAAGACTACCCTCTCCTTGACAGCCAGCCAGCTATGGGAAATTACTGCACTACAGACAAACCCACTGAAAATAAAGTGTCTGTTCTCAATTGTGTCAATAGTGCCTTGGCTAAGGTGAAGAGCTCTTTTCTAGATTGTAACACTATGGTTTTTAAAGACTGGCAAAGAAAAAAGCATCTTAACAGGATGTAAATGACGTTACCCTGATGAAGTGCTCAACCTAGCATTAAAGGGCATCTCCCTGGTAGCCCTATAACGGGCTACCAGGAGGTACTATGGAGTCCCCTATCAAACTCGTTTCAAACTTCACTGCTGAAAAATGAAACTGGACTATACCAATTCAGGCAGATTACAGCCCAGGCCTCAGGTATACTGTGTAAATTGCAAGAACCTTTTAAAATCAAAGTTAATTTATGTGACCTTGTTTTCTTGTTCCTTTTCACTTGAAAGCAGAAAACAAAAATAAATTCAAGTACATCCCATAGCTTCTTAGTCAAAAATTCAGATTTAACTTAACAAAGGGGAATCATTTCAGATGTTACGGGTTATGTGTTAATGATTTCATCTCTAACATTTAACCTCTGATCTTTATTCTCCACATTAAAAAAAAAAAAAAAAAGTATAGCAATCCTTGTCCTTTTGAGGCCAGTAACAAAGGGCTTACAACAAAATATTCCCAATTTCCAGCTCTCATCAACCTTATTTCATGAAAATAAAAACTGTGACAAGCATAGGCAAGGTATTTTGAAGATCTAAAGCTTAACTCCACTCTTATATCAAAAAAAAAGAAAGGATCCAGACTTCTCACGAATGCTGAAGCCCATAAATGTATTCTGTTTACCCACTCCTAGAGGTAACTGATAAAAATCAGACCACATTTTGATGTGGACCAATTCATTATCATCGAGTTAAGACCCTTTCTGACAGTGGGGAACCTGTTCATTGCAAATGGGTGTAGATAAGGAAAACCCTGCAAACAGGAAAAGATGAGATGTCCAAAAAGTGATATGGGCATACGGGTGTGGATGTGCTTTTAAAGGAAGATGATGGGTGAGAGACATGGCTAGGGACCTTAAACTGAGCTTGGGTGCTCTAAAAGAACCTTAGTGCTCTAACAGATCTCAAAAAAGTAGACAGTTCTATACTGTGGCCTCTTCTTTTCACTTTCAGTTTCCTGCTTTCCTCTTTAACTACAGGAGATTAAACAATTACCTAGTTATCTTACATCTGCTCTAGAGCTTTCTTACGGGCTGATCAAACTCAGCATGGTGAGTAATTAAGTACTTAAACATCCTAACACTTGCCAATAAGGATTCCTTCTTCTGGAAAGTGCCATGAACTGGAGAAACCTATATACCCCTTGCTCAGCAATGAGGAAGTCCCTCGCTTGTCTCTGCAACTATGAGGTTAATTTTATGAGCAAGGGACAGGACTTCTATGCCTTAAGGCCTGGTGAGGATCCACCAAGGCAGGGCAAGAGTAAATTGTCCTGCATTTACATGCTGTCTATCCAAAGCACTACTTAATTCCCTCCAGTTCCTTCCCACAGAAGTCAAAACTGCATTCTTTTAAAATCTGACACCACTGACAAACACTTTGGCAGTGTCCGACAGAAATTTAGATGATGAAAATGTTCCGTAGTTGTACTGTCCCACATGGCAGACACTAACCACTAGCTATTGTGACTAAGGAACTGAATTGTGTATTTTAACTAACTTTAAATAGCCATGTGGGGCTAGTGCCCATTCCACTTGATAGGGAGAGCTTCATTTTCCTTGAAAATGATCACTTGAAAATAACCTGCCTATGGCAGCTTAAGGTTGGCGGCCTATCAATTCTTAGTATCTTGGAAAGTTTTCTTCTTTGAAAGCCTTGAGGCAAATTTTCTTATCACCCCACCTGGTCAGAGTCCCTGAAAATTGCTTAACTTTACTCTGGGGCCCTGAAGGAGAAAAAGTGACCTTTTCTCTTTCCGGGAAGGGTCCAAGTTAGGTTTTTTTTTTTGAGATGGAATTTCACTCTGTTGCCCAGGTTGGAGTGCAGTGGTGCAATCTCAGCTCACTGCAACCTCCGCTTCCTGGGTTCAAGCAATTCTCCTGCCTCAGGCTCCTGAGAAGCTAGGATTACAGGCGTGCACCACCAAGCCTGGCTAATTTTTGTATTTTTAGAAGAGACGGGGTTTCGCCCATGTTGGTCAGGCTGGTCTCGAACTGAAGTCGGGTGTTTTCTAGCTCCCTTTGATGAGGTGGCAGCTCTACCTGGGTCTCCACTTTATGCAGTTCCAACTCCTTGGAGTTGGTCCCTATCTTCTTTCTGCCTTAGTTTCATTTTACCTAGCATTTTTGTGTGTGCATCCATGCACATGTATGTTCATACACTATCTTGTTTTGGTGTGAGGGGCCCAGCAGCTGGGTTCACCATGGTTGCCAGAAGGAGGTGCTGAGTTTGATGTTTTCCATATCTCAAGCAGACACGACTGGGGACAACACCGCCATTCTAATTTTTTTTCTTTTTTTTTTGAGACAGTCTCATTGTGTCACCCAGGGCGGAGTGCAGTGGTGTGATCTCGGCTCACTGCAACCTCTGCCTCCTGGGTTCAAGCCATTCGCATGCACCAGTCTTTCAAGTAGCTGGAATTACAGGCATGCACCACCACGCCCAGCTAATTTTTGTATTTTTAGTAGAGACGGTGTTTTGTCATGTTGGCCAGGCTGGTCTCAAACTCCTGACTTAAAGTGATCTGCCTGCCTCGGCCTCCGAAATTGCTGGGATTACAGGTGTGAGCTACTGCGCCCAGCCAACTATCATTGTTTCAATCGATTAAATATAAAAGGACATTCAAGAGTGGACTTACCGTTTCACCCGCCCAGTACTGTCCTGACTCAATTCTTTCATTCTTTCTTCTACTTTGTTCAAAATCTACAATTAAAAGAAAAATCAATGGGCTTGCAGAATAAGCTGCATGGAACAGCTAAATTACAGACCCAACAACTAAGGCCGTGTTGACAGAGCTGTGCAAGATTGACCTGTCCCTCCTCCTGCCCTCTAGCAGCCTGTAGGCCTGGCCCAATTCCACTCTCCCATCCCAACTATCCCTTCATGTTGCTGACCTAACCTTAGTGTAAGTTAGCAACAAAATAACATGGAAGAGGAAGGCTAAAGGGTACTGCAGCTATAAAATCCTGGTTAAAGGTTTTCTATTCCCTCCAGTGGAAAATAAGATTACTCACACTCAGGCAGTTAAAAGGGAACGCTGACACCCAAGTTCCTAAAAACAACTAAACAACTACTTCTATTCTAAAACCACTTATGTCGAGGGAGGAAAGTTTAAAATTAACTGGAAAGTAAGCAATGAAGAGAAAATTATTTTAACACTAAGCTAAGCAGATACTATGATCCTTAAACGCCGAGTAAATGAAAGTGAAAAACCGACACTGTCGATCTCTTCTTTGCCTTGCGCATCACCATCATAACTCTGAAGGTCCAGCAACACCAATCCATGTGGGTAAATTCTCAAATTGGCAAAGCTACAAAGGAAAATATAATTTTAAGCTTAAGAATTGTATCAGGGCATTCAAAAAAACAAAAAAACAAAAAACAGAGAGAGAGAAAGAAACAGAGATGTCACCCAATTAAAAGACCACTGCTCTTTATTTCCCTAAAACTATACAGTTAACCATTTTGCTTTCTTACTAGGGCTGCGTCTTGCGGGAAGAAACTACCAATCATTTGTGGACGGTTTAGAGGGCATTACCAAAAGTTAAGGTTTTCAAAACTGGTTCTTGGGCCCAGAAAGTGATTCAGTAGCAGTTATGTGAATCCAATTTTTAAAAAGGTTCTCTAGGTAATTTTGCCAGGTTTAGTAACCACTGCCTTAATACGAAGGGAGTGTGGAGAAGGGTATACTGGTTTCTCCCAATTAAACTTTAGAGTTCAAACCAGAGTCATTTTTTCCTAACTGCAGGCTGGTGGTAGGTAAATTAATTTAAGTAAGCACTCTGGAAAATCCAGGCCAAGTGCCTGCAAACCTAATCCATCCCACAGTATGTTTTTGTAAAGCCTGCAGGCTAAGAAAGAATGGTTTACATTTTCAAAGAGTTTTTTTAAAAATGTGACAGCAACCTTTACAGAAAATTTTCTGACCAGTCCTTTTTATTTTTTAATGAAATAAACATATTTGAGTGTATCACATGCACTAAGATGTACTCGATAAAACTTTTGTTTCAGTTACACGCTTTTTTTTTTTTTTTTTTGAGACGGAGTCTCACTCTGTCTTGCCCTGGCTGGATGGCAGTGACATGATCTCGGCTCACTGCAGCCTCCACCTCCTGGGTTCAAGCAATTCTTCTGTCTCAGCCTCCCAAGTAGCCGGGACATCAGGCGTGTCCCACCACACCCGGTTAATTTTGTATTTTCAGTAGAGACAGGGTTTCACCATGTCAGCCAGGCTGGTCTCAAACTCCTGACCTCAGGTGATCTACCCGCCTTGGCCTCTCAGTGTTGGGATTACAGGCGTGAGCCACTGCACCTGGTCTATGCATGTATTTGTTTTGCATTTACACAGATGTGTATTTCCAGGGTTATGATTACCTCCTACTATAAATTATAGGTAAAGAAATGTTTGAAAAATACTAAATTAGAAGATGAATTATGCTCAGAGAATACAGACAGTGTGCTTGGATTAAAAAAATAAAAAATAAAAAAATAATAAGCTAGGCACAGTGGCACACGCCTGTAGTCCCAGCTACTTGGGAGGATGAGGCAGGAGGATTCCTTATGCCTGGGAGATCAAGGCCGCAGTGAGCCATGATCGCACCACTGCACTCCAGCCTGGGCGACATAGTGAGACCCTGTCTCTATAAAAAATTTAAAATAAAACAAAACTAGTTAATTTTTCACCTTCAGCCCTTAAGTGACCTCAAAAATCAAGTTCTTGCCCACAGTCCACAAACTCTTCTACACCGGAATGAGCGGATCATCTTTCCTTTCCCTCCTTCACTGGCAGCAGAGAGGAGGGGGGAAGGAACAACAGAGAAATAATGTCCCCTTTATCCACTTGGGTGGTTCTAGCATGAACACAGAGAATGCTAGAAGGCAGAGTCAAGGATTAAGGTGCTCCTAGGGATAAAACCAGAACTAGAGGGGGAAAAATGTGCCCAGGGTCGGGGGGAAGGGAACAGAGAACCCGAATAAAGGTGGCTCAGCTCCTTTCCCCAAGCCCATGCATGGGTAGGAGAAGTGAGGTTTCAGGACAGGCACCTCGGGGTAGGTACCAGTTGACCAAGTGAGAGAGGAAGGAGACCAAGCAGAAAACTCTTAAAAACTAAGCTGGCCAGGCGCAGTGGCTCACGCCTGTAATCCCAACACTTTGAGACGCCGAGGTAGGTGGATGGCTTGAGCCAGGAGTTTGAGACCAGCCTGGGCAACATGGTGAAACCCCGTCTCTATTAAAAACACAAACTTATCTGGATGTGGGGGTGAGTGCCTGGAATTCCAGCCACTCGGAAGGCTGAGGTGGGAGAACTGCTTGAACCCAGGAGGCAGAGGCTGCAGTGAGCCAAGATTGCGCTACTGCACTCCAGCCTGGGCAACAGAGCAAGACTTGGTCTCAAAAACAACAACAACAACAACAAAACCCTAAGCAGTTCATTTGGGGTTTTTTTTGTTTTTGTTTATTGCTTTTCAAAGCAGTTTCCAAACAGCTCTTGTCACTCAAAAACCCCTTCTGGGAGGAATTCTAAGTCTTCTGTACAACTGGAATTGGTGGCTATGGCAGAAACTTCAATAATTGTCACAGAGAGGTAGGCAGGGCCCAGCTGCAAAGGCCTTTAGGAGATAAAGTGCAACTTTTCACCTGGTGCTGGCTGAGGAGCCTGCCACTGGAGGCCGTGGATGATGAGTTCCGATTTGCTGTGGTCCCCAAAAGATGAACCACAGTAAAAACAGTGAGAGGCGGCAGGTACAGGGAGGGGCTGAGTGTAATCCTGCAGGAGCCAGAGGGCCCTAGGACAGCTACAGCCTCTGCTTCCAAGAGACCATCTAGGTCAGAGCAGGGAAGGAAAGGACACAGGGGAGAGGAGGGTTTGGTGGTAGCATTCATATAAGGAAGAAATCATCATCTTAGATACATTTGCGGTATCTACTAAACACACAGGGAGGTTTGCTGCACAGTTAGAAATACAAGTCTGGGCTTGGGCAAGAAGAGGTTCAGATGTCTTTGAGAGGTATCAGGATAGAGAACACCAATTAATGCCACAGGAGTGGGCCATGGAGACTTATAGAGAGAATAATGGAAGGGGCAGTGAGCTCAAAAAGTACAGGTTTCCCTCATCTCTAGGTCTCTGGAATATAATGGAGGTGGCTACTTTTTCCTTTAATAGAGAAACAAAGGGAGAGAAAGTAGGACATTAAGGAAGCCACGTGGAATTCCAGTACTGGGTACCCATTGAGGTAAGAGAATAAAAGTCATCGAAAATACCCCATCCTGGAGTTCACATTTTTATTTATTTTAATGTTTATTTCCATAGGTTATTGGGGAATGGGTGGTGTCTAGTTACATGAGTAAATTCTTTAGTACTGATTTGTGAGATTTTGGTGCACTCATCGCCCAAGCAGTATACCCCGCACCCTATTACATTTCTAAATTGATAGTGCAAATTACTAAGAATCTTAATTAGTAGTTTTACATACTAAGCCAGTCCAGATACAATACAAACCAAGATTTAAGGAAATACCAAGAGCTCAATGCACTGGTTTCTTGTTATCAGTCATTTCTTAGTTTAGATTTTCTTCTGCATTTCACCATGGTCTGCAGTAGCTGATAATCAGTCATAACAGTGCTACTCAAAGTGTGGTCAGCTGTCCAGCAGCATCAGCATCCCCCGGGAGCTTCCTGAAAACTGAATCTGGGCCCGGTTGCAGACCCGCTTATTGCATCAAGAACTCTTGCGGCAGGGGCCCAGGGGATCATTGCCTGCCATTTCAAACTGCTTATGCCGCCAGGGGTTCTTGGTCCTGGCCACATAGAACCACTGGGGCTTTGGAGAAATCCAGATGTCCAGGCCCTGTGACCTCAATTTCTGGGGGAAATGCCCAGGCACGAGTGTTTCGTGAAAGCTCTCCAGAAACAGTGTAGAGAAGGGACCTGGGCTCCCCCCACGCCAATAACACACTTATTTCCAGAAATACCAGGCTCTAGGAGCCAGGAAGATGGCAAAGCGCTGCTTGAGGCTCTGTGCAGGCTGCCACTGGGGCCCTGCAGCACTGCTGCTGGCCAGCCTAGAGCAGGCACCCTCAGCCTGCACCCACCGTACTCTGACCTGAGCAAGAGTGTCTGCAGCTCAGCATCCTGCAGCGAGAGGGCCCCGGCATGCCCACTACGGGCCTCTGCTGCAAACTAGTGGGTCCTCACAGGTGGTGGGCACCCCAACCAACCCATCCATCCGGACCCCAGGCCCTCTGATATCATCCTTGCTGACCAAGAGACCGGGAAACACTAAGATAAGCAGCATCCTATGGTAAATCTTACTCCAGGGACTTAAGAGGCTGAGTTGCACCGTAAACTTTTTACTCCAGGGAGTTGACCTACCACTTGCATGAGCCCAGTGAGCGATCCTGCCCCTGTCGTACTATTACGCTAAAGTCCCCGCCAAGAGCGGGCTCACCAGCCACTTCAGGGTGCGTACATTAAGCAGGAGGTCTCACTGCATCTGCACACCACTAACTAGGTGCGTACCTGTAATTACACTCATCTACCTCATGAACTGTTCACATCACTCCCTTCAAAACATCACCTTGGGGGAGTCAGCCACAAAACTTTTCCTGGGCTGCCTCCCTTATGCTCACTCTGGGAATAAGTCTTAACAAAAAACTTGTCTGGGACACATGTTTGGCCTCCTGTCAATCTCTATATACATGAGAGCTTAAGAACCTGTGGTCAGTAACGCTACCAGGAGATTCTGATGTGCAGAATCTTGAGAAGCACCAAGTTCCAGCCCCATCCTAAAAGATGTCAAAGGAGAAAAACAAAAGCCAGGTGCCACCCCCATCCTCCACTCTGTCACCCACTCTGCTCATAAGTGACCAGATATGAAGAACAGCACCGGAGACTGCTCACCTGCCGTTCTTGTTTGTGTAGGTTGCTAAATAGCCATGGTCCTGCCAGGTGTGCACCGACTCCGCCATTCCTTGCTCCTGGAAAATGGACTGGAGGCCTTTTAGAATGGTCTCACCATCAGCTGGAGAACAAAGGGAAGAAGGCAAGATGGTCAGAAAGAAACATTCAGAAGGAGGGCCAATGAGGCACAGTTTGAGGACTGACCTTTAAAAAAAAAAAAAAACCTGAACAAAGTTGTCAGTGTCACTTATCCCTTGTCATGACATGAGTGATAAACATTCTCCACCCTGCAAGAAAAGGCGACACAGACCACCAGATTACCTGATGGTAAGAACACAAAAGCCGACCACAAATAGCTGTGCCAAGGATGTAGACATATTCAGCCTAGAGACAGCATAACAAAATATTCACTCTAAGCAGAAATTAAAGAAATGTAAATAAATGCAAGAACAACAAATGAGATTCCACTTCAGGTTAAATAAATTAATGAGGACACATGGTACTAGAAAGGTGATACCTGTCCACTGCTGATGAGTAATATAAATGACAAGCTTTTTTCCCCATGTTTTACAAAAACGATGTGCTGCTTTTATAACTGGAAAAAAATATCCAACAGTAATCCTCAGTAACATAGCTCTCAATGGTACAAACTGGACAACGATTCCATATGGGACAACCTGCTGGCTTGTCGGTCTCCCTACCCTACCCCCATGGTCGCAGAAGCCAATCTTCCTGTCTCCCATCCTGCCCACAGTCCTACTCCCAAAAGTGCAATCAGTGTTCCCACATAAAGTACATTAACCTCTGCAGGTTCACTTGAAGCCAGGATCTTCAAGAACATCCAACATTACAATACTTAGAATAAGGGGTAAATGCAATTTGTTCTCTAGTTCTATCTACAAAGCAGGCATTCCCTAATAAATGTAAAACAAAGAACCAAGATATGACAAGAGGAATTACTCTTTACTTTCCCACCAGCCCTCTGAAGGCTGGCTCCTGTGAGGGGAAAAACAGCCTGGTAAATATCAAAACGAAGCATCTCTGTGACCTGAACAGAGGTAAAAGAAAAAAACAGAGTCACAGCCGACTGCAGTGTGATTTGCCAAGAAAATTACATTAGAATTTCCGCCATAAACTAAGTAGTGCTGAAACTAGAACTGGGATGTTAAGGATTTTTTCACTATGCATAGTCTATCTCTAGTGACTCAGAACTCTGTTCCCAAGGCCACTGAATGAAGGCTACAAATGGGGAGTTCGGAGGCCAAAATGGACAGATATGTCTTACTCTGGCTTGCACAGACTTTTTTTTATTTTTTGAGACCGGATCTCCCTCTGTCACCCAGGCTGAAGTGCATTGGCGTAATCTCAGCTCACTATAACCTCTGCTTCCTGGGCTTAAGTGATCCTCTTGCTTCAGCCTCCCAAGTAGCTGGGACTACAGGTGCCTGTGACCTCGCCCGGCTAATTTTTTTTATTTTTAGTAGAGAAAGGGTTTCACCGTGTTAGCCAGGATGGTCTCAATCTCCTGACCTCATGATCTGCCCGCCTCAGGCCCCCAAAGTGCTAGGATTACAGGCATGAGCCACCGCGCCCAGCCCATGCCCAACTAAATTTGTACATTTTTGGTAGCAATGGGATTCCACCATGTTGCCCAGGCTGGTCTCAAACTCCTGAGCTCAAGCAATCCACCCGCCTCAGCCTCCCAAAGTGTTGGGATTACAGGCATGGGCCACTGCACCCAATCCCTGAACAGACTAAAGTGTAAATTAGTTGCCATTTAAAAATCAGAAGATTTCACTCTCTCCCACTGTAGTGGGTATAACGGTGGCCCCAAAAAGATATATCCACATCTTAATCTCCAGAACCTGGGGGTGTGACTTTCTTTGGAAAAGGGTCTGTGTAGATGTAATTAAGTTAAGGATCTTGAGATGAAAGCATCTGGATTATCCAGGTACCCAGACCCTAAACCCAATGACAAGTGCCCTTATAAGAGACAGAAGAAAAGATACAGGGAGAAAAGGGGGCAGGTGACATAAGACGGAGGCAGAGGTTGGAGTGATTAAGAGCCACACGCCAAGCCCAGGACAGCTACAAGCGCACCAGAAGCTGAAGAGGCAAGGATGGATTCTCCCCTAGAGCCTTCTGGGGAAGCAAGGGCCTGTCACGTTTTGATCTGAAACTTCTGGCCTCCAGAATTGTGAGAGAATACATCTCTGCCATTGTAAGCTATCCAGTTTGTAGTATTTTGTTACAGCAGCCCTAGCAAGCTAATACACCTGCCCAAAATTCGTTTTCAACTTTAACAACAGCAAACAGAATACTAAAAGTGGCAGTGAAAACATAATTTAATATTCAGAATTGCCAAACAGAGCAGTTGATAGCCCAGCCAAAACTCATGGACAACATCTGGAACAAAACTAGATGACAGAGTGTAACCCTAAATTCCCAAATGGGTATAGGTAGAAATAAATAGGCCACAACCCTGAGACCCGTGGGGTATCAGCAATTGAGAGAGGAAGAAGAGAAAAAGCAAAGGGACTTCAGACAGCCCTAAGAACTAGAGGAACCCCTTCCAAAAGTCACCAACAGGTGTTCACCCCCAAAGAAGTGGTTTCCTCCCCCTCAGAATGCAGGGGTCTGGCTAGCCAAAGCGAGGATGCAGCTGAAACTTGCGAGGACTTGGGTAGGGATGGATGTCAGGGTGGTCAAGCCCTCCAGATGGCCAAAATCAAAGAATCTCCAAGAAAAAGTCCCCCATCAGGGAGAGACTACCAGTGCAGAATCCACGTCACACTTCCACAGCAGCACAAGCCTCTGTAAACACCGAGCAGTGGTGGCCCAATGAATCCTTAAGCTCTCATTTGTTCCTAGCAAAACTGTGCCTCTGGGAAAGTCATTTGGCAGAAAATAATCTAGCTTGCTTTGCTATTCTGAAATTGGTTTCAGGAAATTAAAAGCCAAGGTCTGAATTATATCCCCAGAACTGTAGCATTTAAGACTGAATTCTACTTCACTAAAATAAATCTGATTTCAAACTTGGTAAGATAAACTAACCTTGTTCAGTTTGTGTTTGTCACTGAAGTGTGGTGGGCCAGCCCACTGTGGAGGTGGCTTGAGTGTACTGAGCCAGGCAGAACTTTCCCTGAATCTGAAGAGCCATTCTAAAATTAAGCAATCCCTCCTTGGCTAGAACAGATGTTTTCTGTTTTGAAAGCATATAAAACAAATAATCACTCCTGGGAAATGGCCTCAAGATGGTTCTGTTGGCACATTACAAAACAGAACCCAAACCCCCATGCTGGTGAACGAACAATCTAGACAAAGCCACCCTGCGTGTAATTGACCAGGTTGTGCAATGAACGAGGACCCTGGCCTGGGTGGCTGAGCTGGGATGAACCTCAACCCTTAGGCCAAGGAAAGGGGGGTCTTTGTCTGATCTATGCAAAGGATTTGACTGCTGGCCAAGCCCAGTGTAGTGGCCATCCCCTTTTTCTAACTGGCACAATTAACAAAAAGGCACCATGTGGACTAAAGAAAGTCCTCCGGCCAGGTTTCAAACTGAAGGAAAAACTACACAAGAAATCTGATTTGAAGCATTACTTGTTCCCACACTGTAGGCTTACCCGCCAAGTTCAGTAAAAACAGGCCAAAACTGAACGTGTTTCTGGAAGCTCATTTACCCACAAGCCCTGTTCATTTGTGCGGCCGCCGGGTCCCCGTGGGCATCTGAGTATGCTAGCCCTGCCAGGAAGGTGTCTGCAGGGCCTTATACGGACACCATCATTTTGCCCACCATTCACCTCCCTTCATCCTCACCTTCCTCCTGATTGGGGCCTCCCCTGTCACCCAGCCCTTGGGGAAGACACTCCAGGGAGGGGAGCTAGAGGTGAAAACTCCGCAGTAGTATCTCTTTCCAAATCAGGGCTTTTTAAGGCAAAACAAAGCAAAAGCATGAGGTGGCTCACTTAGTCATCTTGATCCCAGGTGCTCAATAAATGTTTTGTGGGCAAATAAAAAATTATTTTATTTGGCTGAATTCATCATCCTTTATTACTATATCTTTGCAGAGGTTCAAGAACATCTAGACCAGTGGTTTACAATCCTAGCTATGCATTATAATTCACCCAGGGAGGCCAGGCATGGTGTTTCACGCCTGTAATCCCAACACTTTAGGAGGTCAAGGCAGGAGGATCGCTTGGGCCCAGGAATTCGAGACCAGCCTGGGCAACGTGGTAAAATCTGTCTCTACCAAAAATACAAAAACTAGCCGGACATAGTGGCATGTCCCTATAGTCCCAGCTACCCAGGAGGCTGCGATGGGAGGAACACCTTAGCCTGGGAGGTGAAGGCTGCAGTGACCCATGATTGCGCCACCGGATGGGAGGAACACCTTAGCCTGGGAGGTGAAGGCTGCAGTGACCCATGATTGCGCCAGCTCACTTCAGCCTGGGCAACAGTGAGATCCTATTTCAAAAAGTAAATAATAATCACCTTGGGAGTTTTGAAAAATTCCAATGCCACACATTAGGCCAATTAAGTAGAAATGTGGGGGTGGGACCCAGGCATCGGTATTTTCAACAGCTCCCTGGGAAATTCCAATGTCCAGCCACAGTTGAGAACCACTAATCTGAATCACCCAACACACAAAAAAGGAAAAGAAACCCCCTACCATTTCCAGACCACTTATACTCATTAAGCCACCAAAAAGTTATAGAAAATGCTCAACAGAAGGGCTGAGAAAAGTTAGAACTCTTTACTAACTGAAGCCAAGGGTAACCTGGCACATGCCCCAGAACATGCTTTGGAATTATTCCAAATTTCAACCTTTATGCCTGTCTAGCATGGAACTTGTAAAATAACCAAACAAATCAGCTTGCTCTATCAGGGTTCCTTGCTATCAGGGGCAAGGTTAACAATGTGGTAAGAAAGGCTGCCCCGTCTTTGTCTTTCACAGGACTTTGGTAACCCGTCATACCCAGTAAATGTCAGGAATGCCTTTGCTTGTCAATAAAAGACCCCCCACCCCAACTGCCCCAAGGGCAAGAGAGGAGCAATACAATCACTTGAGAACTACTACATGCTCCACACTCAGGTGAAAACGAGCCTGAGGTCAGAATATAC